CCCGCCTCGGCCTCCCAGAGTGCTAGGATTACAGGTGTGAGCCACCGCTCCCGGCCTATAAATATTTTTAATATGCATGCATACATGAACTATTTTCATTAGCTAATATCTCAAGGTGTACAGTATTCCCTTAGGCTAAGGTTCATTATTCTTGGATTTAAGTCTGTATTTTAAATAGTCTTTTAATAATTTCATGTATTTTGGCTGACTTGTAAGGTTCGATTAAGTTGTCACTGCTTCTAACTATTAATAGGTATTGCCAAAAACAGAAGAAATGTCATCTCAAGAATAGAAGAAATGTTATCTCTGTCATCTCATGATTGGCTTTTGCTAACGTTGGTATTATCTTAAGTTCAAGGGAATATTGCCCATTTTGATTTAATCAAAACAGAATCTTTAAATCTACTTAACTGGGCACATATAAACTGCTTCTGTATCTTCATACACTGAAACTAATAAATGAGGACTGTTGTCAACCTTTCCTCATTGTGAATCTTCTATATTTCTCTTAGGGTACTTTTCTACCTTTCAGACCAAGCAGTAGTGTCTGTGTCATTTGCATACTGAATATTAGTAAGGCTTACATTCTTTCTTTTGGAAACTGAATCCTAGAGCATTATTCCTCAGAGTATGGTTTTTGGACTACCTAGTGCTGGTTAAAATAGAAATTTCTGAGCTCTCCCCTCACCCTATTTAGGTGACTGAAGTTGATGACTCCTGGCTAGTATAGAGCTTGGTGATATCATGTGGTTTGGTGCATATATAATATAAAGGAGATGGGGTCCTAGGAACTCTTCTTGTAGAAAATACATCTTTTCTTGAGGCAAGAGATTTGAAGGAGTTTATATCTGGAAGGGAAAATATCACCTCTTAAAATATCTCCCTGTTAGCGAACCCTAACTGGTTTGAAAACTAGATTGTGAACTTGTGTTTTTTTATTTCAAACTTCGTTTTGCAATTTTTTGTTAGGTGGAAATTAAAAGTGGAGCACATGATTATTACAATGTTCTTCCCAATAAGAGTCTATGGAAAGCTTACATGGAAAATGGAAAAAAGCTGGGAATAGAATTCATTTCAGAAGATACAATGTTGAGTGTCCCTTCAGGTAATTAAGTTTTTTAAATATATATTGAGCTATTTGAGGAAGAGAAATACCATCTTTAGTTAAATGGTGTTATTTAATGGTTTGGGATGTAAGGAGATAGTACTGATGTCTTTAATGATATTTTCATAAACTGCATGGTTAGTGGAAAGAAACTAATGGACTCTCAGTGAGTGTGGAATGTCACATAAGCAGACTTGTTTTTAGAAATAGCCAGCCTACTTTTTGGTCTATATTCTAAATATTTCTAGTGTTTAA